CCACATCTTCACTCCCTTCCGTCGTAACCGTTCACACATTGTACCTCCACCAACTAGAAAGTGGAAATGGAAGATACAAGTCCTTACACCTCAACCTTATCTGTTCCCTACCTCCTCTTCGTTCCGGAGTGACTGGAAGGAGCGGGGTGTAACTCTATTATTGGTCCCTTCATGGCCTCTCTTTCCGGTCCACCGACGGTGAAGGAAAGGGCGAGGCCACCAGACGGAGTCACTTCATTCAAGGATTTCAACATTAACCCCAAGAATAAAGGAATGGCATGTAAGAGAAAAGAGATTGGGACACTCGCCTTCCAGCGGCTCCAGGATTAATAGTTGGGACTGAGGACGAGGCCAGAGGCTGAGGGAGGAGTGAAAGTGTCATGGCGTTTCTTTTCATTTGTCTTTCCTTGCTTCTTTCCCTTTATTGACGGTCACTTTCATCTCAGTCCCCACCTCATCCTAACTCTCCTTCCTAACGACCGAAGGGATGCCTGTATGTTTAGAGGTGTATGTAGTATGTATGCATGTATGCATGTATGCATGTATGCATGTATGCATGCATGCATGCATGCATGCATGCATGTATGTACGTACATATGTATGTATGCATGTATGTCTGTATGTATGTATGCATACATGTATGCATGTATGCATGTATGCATTCATGTATGTATGTGTGTATGTATGTATGTATATATGTATGGATGTATGTATGTATGTATGTATGTATGTACGTACATATGTATGTATGCATGTATGCATGTATGTCTGTATGTATGTATGCGTGTATGCATGTATGCATGTGTGCATTCATGTATGCATGTATGTATGTATGTATGTATGTATGTATGTATGTATGTACATATGTATGTATGCATGTATGCATGTATGTCTGTATGCATGTTTGCATGCATGTATGCATGTATACACGCATGCATGTATGCATGCATGTAGGTAGGCATGCATGATGCATGCATATATATATATATATGTATATATGTAGGTATGCATGTATGTACAATATATGTATGTACGTATGTATGTATGTATGCACGTATGTATGTATGTATGCATGTATGCATGTATGCATGTATGTATGTATGTATGCATGTAATTGTCTACGCATATATGTATGTATGCATGCATGTATGTACGTATGTATGCATGGATGCATGGATGTATGCATGTGTGCATGTATGCATGTAGGTAGGCATGCATGATGCATGCATATATATATATATATGTATGTATGTATGTACGTATGTATGTGTGTGTGTGTGTCTGTCTGTCCGTCTGTCCGTCCTTCCGTATGTCTGCCTGTGTATGTATACGTATGTAAGCATGTATGTATGTATGCATGCATGTATGTGTTTATGTGTGTATGTGTGTATGTATGCATGCATGCATGTATGTATGCATGTATGTATGCATGTTTGCATGTGTCTGCATGTCTGTCTGTCTGTCCGTCCGTCTGTCTGCCTGCCGGCCTGCCTCTCTGTCTGTCTGTCTGTATGTACGTGCGTACATGTGTATATATATATATATATATATTCTTAATTGTCCCTTGCTGCATATGCGATTGCTCTCTTAGACAACTTTCGCGTGAATGAATGCATCCGCACAGCCCACTTGTTCCTGACGCTCCAAGCTTCCCAACAAAGGACTCTGCGGTGAGATCAGCAGCATCTACCTGAGCCAAGCGTGTGGATCATGGTCATGGTCATTGCCCCCTTACCACTGTGGATGCACAACACCCAGTTCGCACCAGTCGAGACGGATGACATCTATGAGTATTGGTTTGAGAGTTCTAGAATGCCAAGCAAAATCCCTGTTCTGACCAGGGCACAAGTAATGACCGGGCACCACGCGCAAGGCCTGAAAGGCTGAAACGGACGCGGTCCAAACTCGCAACAAATACATGAGCGCTGGGCACCGGTTCCACTTGGGATTGACCTCTTGGAAGGTGCCAAACGAGCGCTAAAAGAGTGGAATTGGCGGAATCCACAGTTGGGGCATCTACAATGCTGTCGAGATGGTCAATTTTCGTTCTGCCCACTGCTGAAGTTTAGCGAGTGAGTATCCCTTCAGCCCCAAAGGCCTGAAACAAGCGAGGGACCCTTTCGGAAAAGACCTCCAAAAGAGAAGCGAGCCATTTGCAGGGGCTCAACCAGCTTTGACACATCCCAATCAAGGTGAACTCGGTTCATTCAACCACGTGTAGATTTTACAATCCGATCGTTGCAAGTCAGCAAGAACCCCTTGTATAAACATCTGAACAACATTGCAACAGGCTCATTTGGATTGCCCTTTAAGCAGGGTTCGCCAAACAATGCACCCCAAAACACAAAACAAAAGGACGTCCTGAGCACTCAGCTGGAAAGCGTGATGTTTACTCCGCTGCAGATTAGCATGACACCCAGAAAACCGAGGAATGGTCTTTTGAAAGAAGCTCTTTTTGGGTTTCATGCTGGTTTGAAGGGGATTCCCTTTTGGCGAGAGTGGTCTCCAACCACGACCAAGCCAACGGGCGCACGGGCGCAAGGGTTCATGGGCCCGCCACGGGTTCACGGGCCCACGGGCCCACGGGCTGACGGGCCCACAGGTTCACCACGAGCCCGCCATGGGCCCACCCGGCCAGCCAGGCCCACCGCAAAGGCCAAAGCACACCCCACACCCTAACCACTACTTCGTCACATCAACAATTGGGTGGGTCTGCACATGTCTTTGACCCAAACGCAGTTGACTTGTTTGCCCGTTGAAAAGCAATCATTGTCCAGATCAAACGGCAAGAGGTCCCACCAAAGAACAATCAATCAAGGCAATGTGGGACAATGTGGGTGTGTGTCAAAAAAGGGGGACCCCAAACATGGCAGTTTTCCTCGAGCTTTCTGTTTATTGGAATCCGCTTGAAACGGGTAGCCTCCAAACAACAGCGACCCATATGGATCAGAGCGTCGCTGAGGCTGAAACCCGCTCCACTGAGGTCATGAACGACCTGGTCGGCGGGTCTTCATGGGAACGGGCCGGGTGCACTGAGGTTTGTCTGCTCGTTTCTGATGGGTACAATCAGCGTATATATATATATACATATATATATATATATATTAATATGGTAGAGGTCTGGCACCCCCTCCACCCCCTCCACCCCCCCCCCGCCATGGTCGTGGTAGCCTTAAATAGGGCCCCACCCCCTCCCCCTTCTGTGGGCCCGCTGGTTGCAGGTTATGGTCATCTTGCAAAAGGCCTCTCCCCTCCGTGTGGGCCCCCGCTGGTGGGTTCCGGTTAGGGCCAAGGCTTCGAGAGTCGTACCCCGGTCGGCGACCCCCTGTAGGCCCGCTGGTTTTGCAGGTTATGGTTATCTTGCAAAAGGCCTCTCCCCCCCCTGTGGGCCTCCGCTGGTGGGTTCCGGTTAGGGCCAAGGCTTCGAGAGTCGTACCCCGGTCAGCAAGCAGCACCCCCCCCCCTCCCGCAAGTGGGGGGGGATACCATTGGGGGGGGGGGGGTGGCCGCTCGCTGACCAATGTGCCCTGGTCAAAACTTTTTATGTGGGCCATGGGTCAGAGGGTTCCCTTGGTAAGCATTCTTGACATAGCTGTCTCAATTCCCGATTGCAGAAAATCGTCCATGACCTTCCCTTCTGTTGAGCATGAAACGAACGGCTTGGGCTCCTGTCCTGCAAAGCCATCTCCTTACCCCGTGAACAATTTTGAGGCAACGCCACCCTGTTTGGGTGGGCGAAACCCACCAAAAGGAACACTGTTTCCACCAGTCCCAGTGTGATCACCCGGGCAGCTGGCCATGGCGCGCAACCGTGCGCGGTATGGCTTGCAATGAAGGGTATGAAACGACAAATGGCATGTGCTTTTGTGTCTAGACACCTCTGGGAGCTCATTTATACTTCTGACAGCTTTTCTGGTGTGGGTGTTGCTGCCAGCAAAAACTCGGGGAACGCTGTAGGACAGTTCCTAGGCTGCCCGGTGCAAAGCCTGTCATGCATGAGTTACAAACATCCTCGAACACTTGTTCACACAGATCGCGGAGCCAAAAACAGCAGGTTGCTTTCAAGTCGCATCCTCTTCAAAACGTAGCTATCGTTCAGTTGCACGCGCACAAAAGAGTCATGGATTCAAACTGATTGCTATGTGGGTAAACATCAAACAACAACCCAAAGGTCAAACAAAAAGGCAGCCAAATGAGCTCAAATAAAATGCTCGAGTTTGAATCCGAAAACTGCACATGGGTCCCCAAGCCAATCAGCCCTACATGGAATCCAAGGAGCCATCTCTCATGACGACTGGCCCCAAGGTGCCCCCCTATGGCCTCCTCTCTTAGGGGGGAACGCCAATTACTCGTTGCTGATTTGCATCCCCGGGTGACTGCTAAACACATCCTGCAAGCAAACTCTCTGTGCTAACAAGCTTGACCCACCGAACGAAAGTGTGGCCATCCTATCGAAATGCCAACCACACAACTGCCCCAGGCCACTGCACTGTGCAATGAAATGACCGACGCATTTGAAGAGGGCTACCTCAACTCATGACAATCGCAGATTCTCAAATCACGCTCACAAAGCAGCAAATTGAAAGACGAGCAAGACGGATGCCTGAAACATCGCAAGGACATCCCATTTGGAAATCAGCTGAAGTCAACGAACAAGGCACTTCGACATACTCAAAAAGAAGGGGTTGATTGGATGCGCAACATGGCAGTGACCGTTGGTGCGGGCAGCGTGGATCGCGACTCCAGCATAGGGCCCTGGCTTTTTGGCCACCCCAAACTTCTCGTGCCCAATCATCGCTGCGTCTCTTTGACGCTGCCAAGCAGCTGATGCCTGACCACCTATGCCGCCGGGGCTTGGGGAACATCTAACAACAACCAAACAACAAATTCCGAATTTGACAGAAAGGCGCGGAGTACTCAGCCACAGTGGCAATACTTTATCATTTGGCACCCAAGGTATCAAGGCTGTTTCTGTGTACAAGGCATGTTTCAATGACTAGCTCGTGTCGGATTCCGCAGCTTTCCTGAAAGATAATGAATTCATGCAATCGCGGTGCAACTAACGAATTTTCGAGGTCATCCAGCCTGAGCACAGGCCGCGCCTTTACTGCATCCTAATGCGTTGTACATGGCGAAACACAGCAGCAGGATCAACCGCAGGGTGTAAGGTATAAATCCCTGCACAGTTTGTGTAACGCTCAGCCAAAAACCCTCTTTTGAAGAGGTGTGTCACATCTCAATTGGCAAAAATAACCCAGAAGTGTGTGTACGTGTGTGTTGGTAGAAGTTCAAAGCACAATATGGGTAGCTGCAAAAATTGTGGTGAACCCCGAAATGGTGGTTTTACTTGTGGTTTCCCTTTAAACCAACTCCCAAAAGCATATCCTAAAATCAAACAAGCAAGCAAGCAAACAAACAAACACACACACACACACACACAAACAAACATCGGCATGTAAGGCGAAGACTGAGCCGGGCAGTCGGTAGGGGCCATGCGGGTGATCAATCCACTCAGCTTGTCACCCTGGTTGTTCTTGTCTTGGGCCATTGGGTGGAATTCTAAAAAGGGTTCCATATGACCTGGGTGGGAGTCTGGGGTTGACCTAAGTGGAATGAACTCTCGAGAAGGGCAGCAGAGGTGAACTTGCCAAAGGACCAAGGACTAGCTGCAACCAGTGGATGTCCGCAGATGGAGCGCTTAAGAAACGGGGACAAAGTGGAAAAGCGTTACTCGAAAGGGAGAGGTTTCCTTGCCAGTTTGCGGGGTCTCAAAACTGGGGCAACAACATACCGGGTTTTAAAAGGGCCCCGCGGTTTTGAAACAGAATGGCCCGCCAAATCCAAAGAAGCCAAACCCAAGGCATGCCTGGCTCACAGCACCCCGTCACTGCTGGCCGACCTGAGGGCAAAACCACAGGGTTAGCACAGGTTGGGGGTGGATTACTCTGAAAGTCAACAGAGGGATCCAGCAAAATGGCAACAATCATTTATCGCTGAGGAAACGAGCAGGGAAAAAGAAGTACAGGGGCACAGGACCAGTAAAATGGCAATCAGGACCTGCAAAAATGCGCTCTCCCAAAACGAGCCTAGTACAAACAATTCCATTTGGGCCAACCATTTTGGGATTCCATGTGCCTCAGGATCCTTCTGAGGACGCGTCTGGGGGTGTCACACGAACTCTTGCTCTATGTTGACAGTCAAAGTCTCGCAACCTGACCCTTTAAAAGGAAGTAGAATTGAAGAACTCAATGGAAAGATCGGGCCCCGCTGTTCATTGGCAAATGGATGTGTCAAAAAAAGAAGAAGTTCGCTGCTGGCTTCCCTTTTGTCATTCTAAGCCAATCATGGCGTCGTTCGAATCTGTCCTTCATCCATGCCAACAATGCGCAAAGTGGCTTATCTGTCCTAACTCATTTCATTTGACCTGTTGGATTGTGGGCAATTGCTGGTCAGGTTCTGTGCCCGATGCCTGCGCATAAGATAAGGGCCCAAACTGGTGAATTGCCCTTGTTTGCTTCAAGTCACCACATGCCCACAAAGACAGAGCATTTTGAAAGTCTTGGGGTGCGTAACAATGGGAACACGCAAAGACCCAAAGGGGCGAGCATTTGAAGGGCGGAATGGAATTCCCCACCCGAACTCGCCTGGAACTCCTGGTCTCCGTGTCTGAAACCCCTGCCTGCGAGAAGCAGAGCCATCTGGGTCTGTTTCCAAATGGATTGAACCTCTTTTTGGATGGTTCTCATGAGAAAGCAAACTAAATCCAACCACCTGGCGGGGTGACTTAGTCTTGCGAAGCAGCGCGAAAGCCGCGGATATGTGTCTGGTCGCCAACCGGAAACCCACCAAAGACCACAGCACACACGGTGATGAGCCTCTGCAAAGAACACGACTCAAAAAGTGAGAGTGCTACGCCAAGACGAGATGGCCAAAGATTGATCACATCGAGGTAAGTGCATCATGCACATGTCCAGACTTTTGGCTTAGTAGGGATCTGGTAAGGCTATCAAATGATTTGTGGTTCCAATCGCAGCCCCGCATTCATCCCTGCAGCAACAGGGTTGCCAAGCCATAATCCATCCAAAAGGCTCTTTGAGGCGCACACACACACACACAGTGACCCTCTGTTTTCCCAGTGGAGCAGCCGACAAGCTGGCCCTGCCTTGGGGCTCTTGGACTTGTGCAGCTCCCTGAGCCGGTGGTTCGGATCCCGCGAAGCCAGTGGCTTAGACATCTGAGGTTCCGTGGTTTGATCAACTCATCCGGTTCTTGAAGGGATCCATGGCGTGCTCGCTTGAAGCCATCTAACCCCTGATTGGAAGATGAACAAAAGCCTAGCGAGCCATGGCCATGCGCAGGTCAAGAAAGAAAAGCGAGCATGCTTCGAGTACCCAAATCATTCATACTCCGTGGGATCTACTCGAAACTGACCTGATACTGCGGCATGAATTGTTGTTGCTTAGCCTGCCTGTCAGTGTGCATTGACACATAGAACCAGCTGAATCACCAACTACCAAAAAGGAATCCAGCCCGACCTTGCACTTTAGCTTGATCTTGGTGAGCTCGCTGCAACTGGTGCGGAGAAAAAAACAGCTATATGGTGGGATCCTTATATTAGGCTCCCCAGTTTTGGGATGCTTCAAAGTACATTAGAAAGTGACGGACCACTTGGGGCAGGGGTGACCCAAAAAGGCTGGGAAACACTGTCATTTGCCGGCTTGCTTCGGATTCTCTTTCAAACAACCCCAAAGAGGGTACTCTCAAAAAAGACATGACCCTGATGAACAATCCACGCGTCGACTGCTGCGAATTCTATCGATCTCTCGTGACTTCTGGGCGCGAGGCCGCTGCAAAGTCAGTGCCATATCACCTGAGGCAACTGAAGGACCCCGACCAACCCCGACGAGAGTACATCCTCGTCAAAGAGACCTTCCTCATGGGGCAGCAAGCGCGTTCATGTTCAGGGAGTTGCAAAATTTAGTCGTACGTTGAAGGGCCGCACCCCCCTACAAGCCATGTAAAGATTCTCATTTGCGGAAGGCCAGGGTTGGGCTAAGCCCTTTCAACAACCTTTTTTGTTGGCGCTTCGGCTTTTCTACCGGGATGAAATTCTAACCCCGTCTGCATATTCCCATTGACCCAAGTGAACCATCCGTTCGGCTGGGTGCCCGTGCGCCAGTACTCCATCTCTGCGCGGAGCTTCTGGGCCGACCTGAAAACTCCAAAGTGGGCAACAGCTGGTGCCGAGAGACACGGCGGGACATCCTTCCCTTTTCTGGGCCGGACTTAGATGCGCTCGAAGAAGTGAAACTTCTTGCTTGAATGGAAAAATGAAGGAAACCCAAGCAGGCAACACAAATAAAAGGCAGGCGGGAAGCTTAGTCTGGCAGTGTCCCATGCGGCGCTCTCAAACCACCCATTCTGTTACCCACCAGACCACAGTTCATCACATTTCATGGTCGGAAGCCATAGCAAGGGGAGCGAGCGAAGCGAAGTTGTGACCTGCAAGGGCCGCAAACAGCGCCAGGGCCGCATGGTTCCTATGGGACTATATATGGCATTCAGGATCTGGCGTAACGCCCTGCGTGTGCCCCGCACCTATTCAGTGTCATCTTTTGACTTAAAGTTTCCGCGGCTCCGTCAAAGCGCCGATGAGTCCAGGCAGCCGACGTCTTTTCTGGCATCACGCACCTGGCATATGGGTAGAAACTGAACAACTGCCAGTTGTTGACTTTTAAATTCATGGGAAGCAATTTTGCAAGGAAGCAAAGAGTTCAGATAGTTGCGGAGCTTCACAGGGCTGTCGAGATCCCATTGTATCTGCATCTCTTTCAATAATTCAGCCTCGACTTGATTGCTTCAGTCTTGAGATATTGGCCCGATGCTGGAACAGGGGCAACCAACAAAACTGGCAAGTGGGCCACAAAACAAAACACACATGCCACACGTTGCAGAAATGGCAAAACTTGTTCTACATACGCCGCATAAGTTCACCTATGACACTGGCCCCTTTCTGGCGGGTGATTTCCGTGCTCTGACTTTGACAGGGTTAGTACGGCAAAATGCGTCCAATTCCGCTCGCGGCAATTGCAGCAAACGGCAAGTGCAACTAGCCCACGCGAGGCCCTTGTGGGTCGAGACCCTGTGCATCGCAAAGGCAGCTGAAGGTCAGAGTCTATGCATACGGGCACAAACACTCAGTTGGCCAGGCAATGAAACAAGATTCAACTTACTCCTCAACTTGAATTGGGAACTCTTCACATAGGGCCTTGATTCTGGGTAAGCTTGTGTTGACTGAGCTTTTTAATATTGGCGCAAACATCCGGGACAAAAGGCAAATGCAAAAACACACACGCACAAACTGGGCAACCGTCAATACTTATTGTGTCCCCGACATGGGAGTTGGGTAAAGTACGCTCAGTTCCTGTATATAGCAATTTGGTGCGTGGAGTCGCGCCATGTCACACCTTTAGCTACTTCACGTGATAGCAAACATGGGGGGTGTCCAAAAAAAGTCGACCCCGTGTTGAAGTCCATGAATTTAAAGACAAAACAGAAGGCATTAGACCATTCACCCATATTGACTGTTTCTCAACCAAAGGTTATACTTGAACATGCTCACCATATATTCTTTGACAGCCTCTTTAAGCCAGAAGCGACTCGCATGCCGATTTGTCCTTCTGTCCTATGCACCGGTGAACCAACCAGCTCTTTCTCAGACTTACTCTTGACGGAACTACCTCCGGTATTTCTCCAAATAGTATGCCAATAGTCTTGGTAGTGGCCCTGGCGGTTCAAGCTGCTGCGCAATTATGCCCCAGAAGAACAAATACCGCGGCTGACGGCCTGGACACGCCGTCCAGCGAAAGACTCTGCGCGTCTGCCTCAGACTTCGGCCGAGCACCTTTCAAACTGCCAAATTGCGACAAACGGGCTCCTCTTGCAAAACCCTTTTGGGACCAGTTTGGCAAACCTTTGTCCAACGGGCAATGCTTAAACAGGACCTGATTTGCGACGCGGGCAGGTGGGGCGTTGACAGAAAGACTGCGTTCTCAACACATGCAACGACCTTAAAAATAAGTTCTCTGGTGGGACTTTCTTCTTATAACATGATCGTTCCTTCCCGGCTTCTTTTTGCCAGTCGGAACCTTCATCGTATGCGTTGGATTGTTTTGCTCCCAGGTGAGCTCCTGTGTGAGCTCGATTTGCGCAGTTCCTCACTTGCTTGACGGATGAAGTAAAAACCTTACTTGACATCTCAGGAAGTACTCCAGCCAACGAGAAGGCCCTGCTTCATGGAGAAAGCTCAATAGGGAGCACTTCCAAACAGCCAAACAAATGCAAACGGTCAGTGCGAGACTTGTTGAGGAGAATGAGTGTTTATCACGTGCCTAGGGCAATGAAGGGCGGTCAAGCTGATCCATGGTTAATAGCTGGTCTGGCCCTGAGCTTCAGGACACAATCGCCTTGCCGACAAACAAATCATGCATAGGCTGCGCAGGGCTGTGTTCCCGTTTTCTTTGCTGGCGTTCCCCACGAAAAGTGGTCAATCCCAGCCCTGCTCAAAACGGATTCGTGGTGCAACTCCACCAGGGTGGCACAAAGCTGTCGCGCCCTGAGCCGCGCACGAGGGAATCCTCCTTCTCGCCCTTGGCCGACACGACGCCCCGAAGACTTCAGCGCCATTTTCAGAAGCAACGGGGGCCCGGTTTTCGGTTGAAACCCTAAGAGTTACGTGGGCAAAATCGGGACCTCTTGGTGCTGACAGGGAAGCCCAAAACAAAGCGACCATTCGATTTGGAGCTTCACCGCTGTTGGCTACCCGAACACCAACGTACGCAATATGCCAACAACACCTGGACCTTGCTTTTCCCTAGCCAGCAAATTGTGGAAATTCGGATGAACCTCCGAAATGGTCCTCTAACACCTTGTGATTGTTGAAGGGGTCGCGATTGAAAAATACTTTAGGGCTCATTTACGGGTCTCTCGGAAGCCCAACAGCTTTAAGACCCGCGGAATTCCTATAGTGTGCCCTGCAACAAGGATTGCGCACTTGCTACCCGAAAGCAAATCGTGTGAGTTCTTCGCAACCCACTTCCCTTGTTGTCGGCGCAGTGCAAAGGATGTCCGCCATTCATTGCGCGGTGTTTGACGCTTGCCCGCCGGCAAGAATCAATTCATGATAGCTTCAGGCTGTGGCTGTGAACAGCTACTGAAAGCAGTGACTGACTCTGACCCCCTGATTTCTGCATGTTCAAAGTCATCGCAACAGGCCAATTTGAAGGACAAACTGACTTCGACATACCCTTGAAGCCGCCCAGCCTGCTAAAAAGGGACCAGCGATGTTCTTCTGCGTCATGCTCAAGCACTGTGCCCCTCCTCCCCCCGCCCCCGCCCAGCATGCCCTGCCTGCTGCACAGCAGCCAGGGCCTAGCGCTGAGGGTTTTGGGACTCGCAACGTCCACCACTCATCCCACAATTCATCCAGGCCCCACACTCAGTCAGTGATAGCTTATAGGGGAGTGTTTGAGCTTCGCCCAACCCGGACGCCTCTTGTGCCCCCTTGGCAGCCATCTTCGCCATAGCTTTGGCCGCAGAGTTCTCCCCGACCATCTCCTCAGGTTTTGGTCGGCGACGACCCGAGCGCCAGGCGAAACAATCAAATGATTTATGCGTGTGTGTGTTTGTGTGGTGTGTGTGTGTGTGTTGGGTTGTGTGTGTGTGCGTTGAGGGTAATTACCCCCATTTTGGGGGGTTGCCCCTACTTTGACGCAACTCAATTTGTGGAAGTTCTCGCCACCTCCCCTGAAACGCTGCTTAGTTAAAGCAAGTCGCCATGGGAAAAGCATGCATTTGGTATTGAAGACCAAAGGATACATTGAAAAGTGGGTATGAGTTGCTTAACTCTTGGTTCCTTCACAACCCTGAATGAGGTATCTCTGACAATGGTCGGTTTCCGGGTGCTTTTTCTTTAGAACCAAGTTACACTGCGTGAGACAGCCCAACTCTCGGTTTCTCAATGATGTCTCAGAAGTATGGTCTAAGATCAGGACCGCCATTTTCTGCACCGAGACGCATCCAACTATTCACTAGCAGGGGTGCAGCCGCTACCATGCAATCAGCATGAACTTCAATTCGATGTCAGAACAAAGTATGCAGGGTTGCTTTTACTTTGCGCTGACTCGAACACGTCAACCTGGATGCTGTCAAAATGATGGATTCGCGTGTGGACACCTGTTGACGGCGTGTGCAGGGCCCAAGGTGTGTCATTCCTTCGGAAAGAAGCTGCCAAACATGCCTCCTCACCCTTCTTAACTTCTCGCACCCGTTTTTGTTCTTTCCCAGCTGCATTGTGTCCACCGTTGTGCTTCCCTTCATCCACTTCCCTCAAAGCCCAGCCTAGGCTGGGAGCCCCCACCAGGAAGGGACCAGTCCAAAACGCAATCTGCTGCTGCTGCTGCCGCACAAAGAGGCCACGCAAGGACTCGCATTCGCCTCAGGTTTATCAAAGCCCCGAAAACTGTCGCTTGGGGATCCGTCAGGGCTGAACCAAACATCTGCCCAATGAACACCTCATATCCATGAAAACGTATGCCAATAAGATGACAACAAGCTGCACTCCCACAAACAAGTTGTATACGGCTTGATGATGAGGGGTACGCTCGTTTGGGGCAAGAAGGAACCTGGATTCAGGATTCCCCTACCAGCAGAACACTTGAACACTTTTTGCTCATTTCAACTGAACCCAAAGCCAACCATGTTCGGCTACCGTTCGGCGAACCGGTCGACGTCGGCTGAAGACTCGCTTCATCATGGCAAGCCAAAACAATGATCAAACTCGGATAGAACAATTATGCAGCCTATCTGCAGTGCCCTGCAACAAGTCAATTATCTTCCCCTTACAACTTGCTGCAGGCAGGCACCAATACTGGATATCTGCAGATTGCGTGTTGGGTCGACGGCTCGGCAGAAACACGGACGCATCATGATCTGGATGTAAAGTGGCATCACGGTATCCACCTATGCTCGTTACGACTCACGAAAGGTCCACGCCAATTACCCAGTGAGGGCAATGCAACAACTCAGTAATGGACAATGGTGTTCCAATATTGCTTAAACAATAGGATCTGTTTTACCCTTGTAAAGTCACTCAGGATTTGCTGAGGATGCTTCTGCCAGAAGGCCGCTTGTAAGCTCCACTCCCATTCCCAGACATTAATCTAGCGCATAGAATTGCCAAAACCTCCCATTGATGAGAAGCCGCCCGTTGAAGCAGTGATTAAACTGTCAGCTCCTTTTCAAATCAAAAAGTGCCCAGGTAGCCGCATCCCAGGCCGCCGACGCCGCAGTGCCATGTTGTCGCTCGCAAGCTCGTCATGCGCACGCTCCGCCTGGTCGGACCGAAGCAACGGACAACATTGAGGGATGTCTTTGTTGACAGTACTCTTTGGAAGCTGGTTTAAAGGGAGAACAAAAGAAAACCACCTTTTTGGAGGGGCTCGGCGTTTTGGCACATCCAACTATTTCCCCAAAAAGGACGTGGGAAACTTGGGTGGTCCCACAGGTGCTTGTGTGTGTGTGTACTTTCGGTGGTCCACCCATGTCTCTTTTAGTGATTCAGACTTGTGCGGGATACAAGGTAGGTGTATATTTTGTGTAATGAATGCCCATTAAGCACGGCAAAGTGGTCTGGCTGGTTTGAGGGCTTCTTGTGGACGGTGTAGCTAAACATGCCAATTCGTTTAGTGTGAAACATCTGCTCGACTGATCAACAAATCCCATAAAGGAAGGGACATTCATCAGGGTGAGCCCCCCATTGACTCCCAAGTGCTCTCGTGAACAGGTAGGGGGAGAATGCCCTTGAGCTCAGTACTATCATAGTTTGGGGGGTCATACCCGTAAACTACATCATGACCCCCTCCCTATCCAAAATCGGGCTTCTGAAAGAAGAACCGCCACCTTGTAGTAAACACACGTGCTGTGAAGTTTGTTGAACACAGCAAATTGGATGCATGCTCGCCATTTGGCAACGCTTTAACTGCGGAGACGAGAACCCCTTTTATGGGTTTCTGAAGATGGACGAGCGTCATCATGCCCGCAAAAAGTGATTCTGCAAGGAAACAGCAGGAAACCGACTTTCAGTCCTCAAGTTTGGGAAGCGGCCTCCAGTCGAAGACGCTCGTAGTGACGGGCGGATTGCGCCAGCTGCCTGGCGGTCTTTAGTGTGGGTCCCCCAAGCTGGCACAAGCCTGTGTCATGGGTAACAGTGCCCATCTGCTGCCACAAGTCTCAAAGTGAACAATCCACGTTGCAAGGTATACAGTAAACAGCAAACGAGCAACAAAATACAGGGAGAGCCAGCTGCCAGCTGTTTTGGCGGAAGCTTGGAAGAATCTAATTGAAGGGCCACTTGGCGCACGTCCGGCTTCGAGGGAAGTTTTGGCGGGATCCAAACAAGGGTTTCGATGAGGTTGGAGGGCAGCTTCAACCACGTGGCCTGATGGGGATGTGTTCGGAGCTGAATGTAGTTTCAGCAGCCCAGATATGAGCTCATTGCAAGAGCACTATTGACCTGGAGTCTCCAAGGACCGTTAAGCGTGGGATCACATACTCCATGTCCAGGAGTCACGACTGCTCACATTTCTTGGGCAAGGGGCAGCGCACTCCGGGGGGGGAGGGGGGGTGAAGCCGAAAACCTTGCCGGATTCAAGCAAGCTGCCCAGCCCCAAATACGCCTCAGGGCGACAGCTTCTCCCTCGCTTCGCGTGCAAGCACTCATCCAGGACGACAGTGAACCAATGCTAAGAGTAAGGTAGCTGAAGTCTGTGTTCGTGCCGCCAAGCTCAAGCTTCATAGAAATGAATGGTGACCGGTGCGCTTGTTGTAGAAAACGGGGTTCGGTCTCCTTCAAGGTCGTTTCAAAAGGGCTCCTCCACATGGGCACAATTTTGATAGCCACCTGACTGTGTGACTGCGCCCAAAAATTAAGGAGCCTACCGAAGGACCCAGAAAACGGGCTACTCCGAGCAAGCAGCCGAAGGTCTGCCTTCCACACTCACCACAGGAAGGCTGTCTCAGCAAAGAACGTTAAATGCTATTGGACGAAAAGGGCTCCTTCAACTGGAAGTAGTGCTCTCAAGTTGTCAAGTGGACAAGCTATTCACTTGCCGAAAAAACAAGTCCCGGCCATCATCAGCCCTCATTCCCCTCACGCCCTGACATACTGATCTCCTCCTTTGTATTCTTGCATGGCTCGTCCTTCTCGTTTCTTTGTCCAACTATCTCAGGAGGGGGGCGTTCCCCATTTCTGAAACACCCAAATGGGCTGAAGAAACAACACCGTGGACAACCCTATGCTCCAGTATCGGTCAGTATCGTTTTTTCCTCAGCATCGGTTTGCGGTGTTTTGGCAGCTCTAGCTCGAAAGTCGCGACTTTTCCGTACAAGTGCAGTATACGAAGTACGCTCTGCCAGCTCCGGCTCGAAAGTCGCAACTTTTCAGTGCATGTGCAGTACAGAAAGTACATTTTGGCAGCTCCAGCTGGAAAGTCGCAACTTTCAGAACAAGCGTAGTACACAAAGTACATGTTGGCAGCTCCGGCTGGAAAGTCGCAACCAATCAGTACAAGTGCAGCACACAAAGTACATTTTGGCAGCTCCAGCTGGAAATTCGGAAAGTCGCAACTGTTCAGTAGCACGCAGTACACTTTGGCAGCTCCGGCTCGAAAGTCGCAGCTGTTCAGCGCAACTAAGTGTAGTACAGTGTAGTGGACGAGTACATTTTGGCAGCTCCAGCGCGGCAGTCGCAACTTTGCAGTACAAATGTAGTACACAAAGCACGTTTTGGCAGCTCCAGGGAAGGCTGCAGGGCAGCTGGTTGGATTCGGCATGGCGGCTAATGAGTTGGGTATCGGTTGGGCATCGGTTTGGGTATCGGTTTGGGCCCTGCAAACTTATGATTCCGCAATCTTGGTGTGCGATAACAACTTGGATCTGACGTGTGTCTTCATGCCTTCTGGGGGTATTGTTTTGCTTTTTACTCAGTATCGGTTTACAATGGTTTTTGGCCTGCAAAACAAGTGAAGGGACAGCCCCGTACATAACGAAAAGGCGCGGGGCTGTTTTTTCAGCCCAAATGGAGGGGTTCAAGTTCCAACAAATCCCAAACAGAGCTGGCCTCTGAAACTCCGGCTCCTCCTTGGCACACACATGCAGCTTGCAACAGAACCCCCAATGCCACCCCATTGACAAACACCTACTTGTGCTGCTGGCAAGCACGTGCAGCAAGGGCTCATGCTACATCTCATTTGTCCAAAAGCTCGGAGCAGGGGAGCACCACATCTGACCAATGCCTGTAGCTGTACTTCAAGAAGCACTTGGCACGGAGTATCTTTCTTGGGACCACTAGGAGTAGTACTAGTGTAAATGTTGGGTCCTCATATTGAAAAGCAACACTGTCTCATGAACAATGAAAGGGTGAAAATGCAAAGCCAGTAATATCCTGTGCTGCTTTGTTTCAAACACCTACCAATCAAACACAAACACGCAGCACTCATCGCCCGATGTTGGGCGCCTACCCCACATTACCATTACAAGTACAAAGAAGGCTTCATGAATCTGTTTCAGAAGTGAACCGCCTTGTGGCCGCTCTCTTGCGGGAAACCAAGAGGAAACTCGCCATCCTTGAAAAGGCAAGGCCCCCTTCTGCTTGCATGTGAGTTTGTCTCAGAATGATGCGTCCCACACAAAGAGTGGTTTCCCTTTCAAAGCACCACAACAAGGAACCCTCACAAATGACACACCCATATTCCTCCACTTTCGCTCCAAGTCGCATTCGTCTCTTCCCTCCGTGCAGATTCCTGACCAAACCGTTGCTCCCATTGGCGGGATTGTCGACGCTGTGCGCATCCATGGATCCCAGCTAGGAAATTGCCTTACCTCAGCAACTAGAAGTAAGGAATCTCAAAAAGACCGCATGGCAGGGATAAGCTTCGCTAAACTCGTTGCGATTTGTTCAGATCCACAGACATGAACATGATCGCAACATAACCACCGGAGACATGACAAATGAAACATGTGGTGCTAATGATCATGGTCAACAATCAACATGGGGGCTTCAACAATCACCCAATAAACATGGACAATATCCACAAACCCTGAAGCTTATGGCCACCCTGACGCTCCATGCTAGTGTTCAGGCGGGTAAAGGCATTATTTGGTATCATCGAACAATGCCCAGAAAGTGGTGCCATAGCTTCTTAGAATCTTAGTCAAGCGGGAACCACGGGCCCTTCTACACACAATCTACCCGAAATTCAGTGTTCCTGGTTGTTCCAGTACACATCCTGATTGGTGAGAGAAAGATAGTGAAAGCAACTGGAATTCCACAAACATAAGTGCAACGACGCTCTCCGTCACAATAAATCGCTTGGACCAGGTCGTCCACCTAGGTGCGTGTTCCCAGGCATGCAAAATCTCATCGGTCTTGGCCAAACCTTGCTTTTCTGCCGCGGAACGGGGCGATTGTTCTTGCATCGACTAATCTTGGTGACAACACACACTCCCACTGTTTAAGACATAACTTGAAATCGTTCACGTTTTGAGGGGCGCTTTGTTCCGGTTGAGTATGCTGGTGTTGCCTCCTGCAACTAGTTGTTTTTCAAACAACAACTTCTTGCTTCAGGTCTTCAAGGTGCTAGGTGGAGTAGAGATGTAAAACAATTCAAAGAATTCCTTCGAAAGCCCACTGAGAAAGGGGCAAAATTGGCAACTCTGGACCTCCAAGGAACTCTCATGTCCCCAAGCCTGGCGTGGGGAGGTGCAGGTAATCCCAGCAGGGCGCCTGTTCCAGCGGCTGACTTGTCCATTGGCCCGCCTTCAAAGCCCCATGTGTCAGAACCGGCTCAGGGATTGACAACCCTTCTCGGGAACCTCCTTGTAGGCCACACAAAATAATAACCCAGGCGGCAAACAGCGCACCTGATTATCTTTATCAACCCTCCACATCAGGCTGAAATCCACATGCAAACTGCCAGTGATGTTCTGACCAGAGCTCAAGGTCCTCAGAACCATACGATCAGAACCTCCTAAGAAGGTTCTACGGATGTAGCTTTAGTGGACTACCATCATCGCAGCAGACAGGTCCTTTGTCCACTTCCATTATTGGAAAGAGGGCAGCCTTGCTCTAGCTGCGACATCGGAAGCTTTGAGCTAAACACAATCTGGGATCAGCCGCTGATGCCGCTGATGCCTCAAATAAGAGACCCGAGCCTCGGGGTCTCCGCGCTCCGCGGCGGCGGAGCCGGTGTTCCTGCCGAAAAGCCAATCGTCTGAAGGAAATGCTTCAAGGATCAACCGACAAGCAGGGATGGCAGTGAAAGTGAGGCTCAGGCCACGTCAAGGGCTGCCCTCTTCCGAAAGAATTGGGTTGAGGTCCTCTCTCTCTCTCTCTGTCTCTCTCTCTCTCTCTCTCTGTATCGCCTGTTCTTGCCCTTCATCTCCCTTTGTATGTCCGTCTCTCTCTCTCTCTTTCTCTACCTTTCTTGCCCTTTCTCTACCTTTCTTGCCCTTTCTCTCCTCCCTTGACTGTGTTCTTTCTCTTTGTCTCTCATTATCGCTACTACCATGCTATCTTTCTCTTTCTATCTCTCTCTCTCTCTTTTCCTCTCTGTCTCCCTCTCTCTCTCTGTCTCTCTCTTTGTGTTTTCCTCTCTCTCTCTCTCTCTCTCCATGCATATACACCTCTCTCTCCTTCCGTCTTTCTTTCTTTCTCTCTCTCTCTCGCTCTACCAAACACGTACTGTACGTATCCCCTAGAGTTGCTCCTTGCAAGCGATACCTGTGCAACAATTCAAACCATTGCCCATTCTTCTCAGGCTGTCTACTTCTGTGTTTCTGCCCAACACCCCCCACACCCAAAAAGCATAGTCAATTCTAGCCCACATTCAGTGAACCTTAAGAGGTAGAATCGATGTAGAATTATCGCAGAAGAAATCTCAGGTGTGTAGAGGCTTTTGTGAACGGCTGGTGAATGATTTGACCAGCAAACTGGGATTGAAGCATTATTGGCACGAATTGACCAAAACAATGCGTTACATTTAACCAAGCAAAACAGCAACTATACCAACAACAGGGTGGACGCTTCAACAACAAGCAAAAGGGCGTAGCTCGAGGGAAATGGGCACGGTCACTTATCCAACGAGAAAGGCGTTGTTAGCCATTCAACATGAACATCACCAACGATAAGAAACTAACACGAACACAGAGTTCTCCCAAAAAGCATGAGGCGTCGTGCAATTGTCTGGCGTGATATCAAATCACAACGGGGATTCAAGCGCGATGATATTCCACAATAATTTTCCCTGCAGGTGGACCGCGCATCTGATCTTTTGAAAAGCAACCCGGGAGAAATGCCCAGCCCACCCCAAGATCTGCACCGCTTTACGGGGGTATCTTGGTCAAATTCCAGGGTGGTGTCGTTGCAGATAACAATGGACCCAGCTCGCGTCAATCCCAATTTCGATATGCATCCGGTAGCGTCATGGCGCCGGCATCCGGCAATGGACTCTGTCACCGTATCGGGTTTGGCCCCATGCAACCACCGATCCATCCGCTAGGATGGCAGCAAATTTGCTGCCTTGGATTTGCGGTGGCTGAGTGGTCCGGAAAAAATAATAAAACAAAAACTGTGAAGCAAATGAGGTGGAATAACTATTGGGAAAATACAACATCATCCCCACATGGTGGATTATTCTTTACAACTGTTGAGGAAAAACATGTTCAGCAAAGTCCAGTGGCATGACGCTTGAAGTTGTTGCACATTATTTAGTCCATCTTGCACCTGAGAGCTGTCCCCGCCGCGGTCTGGATTCCCCCATGAAACGACGCGACCGTCTGCCAGGATGGCGGCAAAGGCAAACTGTGTGGCCTGGACATGCTGGACGGCCCTCAGCTGCGCTTGAACTTCAGAACTGTCACCGCCATAATATGGATGGCCCCATGTCACAATCGAGCCATCCGCCAGGATGGCAGCAAATGCGCACTCTGAGGCTTGTATTCGCTGCACGTGCTGGAGGTGGTCTTGGGCTTGAGAGCTGTTACCACCAAATAGGCCATTGCCCCAGGTAACGACGGATCCGTCTCCCAAAAGCGCGGCAAATGCCCACGCTGTGGCCTGAACCTGCTGCACATCCTGAAGCTGTTCTTGAACTGCTGAGCTGTCACCGCCGTGATCTGGATCTCCCCATGTAACAACCGATCCATCAGCTAGCAGGGCAGCAAAAGCCTCCCTTGTGGCCTGAACCCGCTGCACAGCCTTGAGTTGATCTTGGACTGCGGAGCTGTCGCCGCCATGGTCTGGATCGCCCCATGTAACAACCGATCCATCCTCCAGGATAGCAGCAAACGCCGCACTTGTAGCCTGTACCTGCCGCACATTCTTGAGCTGACCTTGGACCTGGGAACTGTTGCCACCAAAGTCTATATCGCCCCATGAAACCACTGAACCGTCTGCCAAGATCGCAGCAAATGCGCAGTCTGCAGCCTGAATTTGCAGCACATTCCTCAGCTGATCTTTGACTGCATAGCTGTTGCCTCCAGCGGTTTGACATCCCCACGTAACGACTGAACCATCTGCTAGGATTGCAGCAAACGCGTTATGCGCAGCCTGAACCTGCTTCACATTCCGGAGCTGATCTCTTACCGCCGAACTGTCACCGCCAGCACCGGCAGCGCCCCATGTCACGAGTGAACCATCTGCCAGAATTGCAGCAAATGCTCCAAACTCGTCAAAACCCCACTTGGTGCCGCGTACCTGTTGCAGCTTACCAAAGCTGACGTCAGAGCTGTCACTACCGGAGTTTGGATCACCCCATGTCAGGGGCCGATCACCTCCAGAGACCCACGAGGCAAATGCTCCTCCAGGGGGCACATTGTCACATGGCTTTGCGTGATTGGGCCACCTATCCCAAAATAATCAGACGGCATCTGATTTCTGGGGTGGAAACAGTAAGAATTCGAAACTGCCGACCAGATAGTACTCACACTAAACCAAAGTCCCGAAGAGACTGGGATAAACCCACACCTATTTGTGGCAGAGTTCATACTAGTATCGTACTAGTCACTAGAAACTTGAGATGCGTGGTCATCGAAACACAAAAAGCCCAGATTGGACCGGTTCGCCTTCAGGGGATCAAGAACCATGCTTTCGACTGTATACAATGTGCACCTCATGGTAGGTTGGTGAACACCCTTGGCTCATATCACACAAAGTCATGTGTTGCTTAAGAGTCTCACAAACAACATCTACGGATCATCTACGTGTGTCTCAAAAGCAAGAATCCCAAAAGTTTGCCGAACCGTGTATAACATATTCTTCTCAGGATGCTTCTCCACTTTTAAACACATCCATGTGCGTATGGCGCGTATGGCTCACAAGCATGAACCCTAAAATTGGAACCCAGTCAAAAATACGCCACATCCATCAAATTTTGCTGAATCCAACCAGTACGCCCATTGGATCGGTCGGCATACCAAACCCCAGTCCTCCATTTGCCGCTACTTTCGTTTCACACACGATCGCAGTAAGGTCGCCTTTGTCTTGCAACCCTGCCACTGATTCGGTGTCAGCCAGCAAACAGCCCTCCGCAGTCAGCAGCTGGAGGGAGCCCTGATGAAAGGATCTCTGGGCCAGAATCCTCAGGTCCCCGACTTGGGAGGATTGCGGAACTGTCAGGCATTTCCTTTTTCCACTTGGCAACGCGACATTGACTTGATACATCTGTGCCGGGATGAAGAAGTTGCACTGGACCAAAACTTCTGGGACTCTGGATACATTTGCTTGGCAAACATCCGGCTATACCCGCTATCTTGATGTGAACAGTCTAACTTAAGCACCGTCAGGTAGCAAATGGGTTAACCCACTATGCTCGGGACTTTCATCAGCAGTGGTCAACCCCCAAACAGGCAACGGAGAACTCACGAACAAACATCCCGGACCACCCTTTCACGCTGCTGCACAAACATGTCCTGACAAGATATCTTGAGCCACATCTCGCGCGGCATCTTCATGTAGGAGCATTCTGCCGTTGGCCCATCTCTCGCAATGACAGGGACGGCTCAGGTGTTGTCAACTACCTAGTGGGGGGTATGGCTCGAACCGGCCGGGCGGAATACTCATCTCAAAATGGGGGTTGACAAATAGGAACATGTGTAATTGCATTCCATCTCACCCAATTTCAAACCCCTTCCACCCATTGAGAACACGGTTGTCAGTATCCAAATTTAAACTGTTGGAAGTATTGGAACTTTATAACCATTGCCAAGTAACTTGTGGCTCCAGCCGACTTCGGCCACGCATCCGGAGCTCGTTGAAATGCAGAGGTCTACCTTTGCTACGGAGGCGCATCGCGCGCCATGTCTAACCTATTATCTAGCAGGTGTGTTGGTCATTTTATGTCCTTCCTGGGCAGATCCCTTTCATAGGGTTGGACATGTTGTGCTCAATTCGGATTAGCTGATCGGGGGTGCGGAACCAGCTATTTCAATGGTGAAATCTGACTCACACCGGCTGAGCAGCGCGAAGGCTCTCAGGTTCCGGTGATGCTCCGGTTGCCAGCTTCCCACATCCCCCAAGCCGAGGCCTCGAGGGGAAGGACTGGAGGGCACCTGCAGCTCCCAGCGGTTTCCTTCCGGCCTTCTCTTTGAATCCAAAAGGGCCCCAAGACATGAATCAACCCAAAGGGCACGAAGGTCGGCTTTGGACGAGTGAGTTCACAGCTCAGAAGGTGGCGTGCACTCTACATCAAATCATCCTCAGGTGCTCTTCAGGGGGTACCCGTCTCCTCACTTGCCCCCCTTTTATGCAAATTGTAACTTTGCAAAATATGTAAAGTGCTTGATAAGTGCGATCAAATGGGCTGTTTTCAACAAATGTGGGTGTGCGTTACGATGTTGTGCAAGCAAGCCAAGCGTTAGCGTTTACTACACCCGACTTCGGCATTTCATCTTGGAAGGGTTCTGGGTGCACTCAAAAGCACGTTGAACAACTGCAGGGTGAATGGTCCGCAGTACTGAAATGGAGGATGCCACAAAGATGACAAAACTCCTGCAGAATACAATCAATCGCATGGCTTGTGGCGCCAAATCTGTGGGTTGAACTTGTGCGGCTTCATGCTTTGCTCCAAACATGACTAACTCCACACATAAGCTTTTCTGAACCTAGCGTGATGTCAACAGGTCAAGCAGTGTTCTCTAATGTTCACCGCGGTCAAAGAGAAATGATTCAACACACAAAATATAATTGCGGCTCGAATTCATTGCCAGTTGACTGATTGGCGAGGAATGCAAAGCCAGCCGATGACTCGAATGTTTTGCTTACCCGCCGTTGTGAACTTTGAATTTTGCTGTGAACATATATTTTGTTACGATGTGACCCGACATCAAACGTCGTGACCTGCCGTCTCCATAACGGGAAGTGACCTTTCTCAGTTGGAACTTGAGCATGCAACAACCAAAAATGAGACAGAGTACGTACACATATGATCGTACATCGTGGCGGAGAAACAATCGTACACAGTGATTAGCTGAGCGCTCAAATTCAAATCAAAACAACAATCTGAGTCAAATAAGGCTCAACTGTTCGCAGGCCTGGACAAAGGCTCCCCAAGAAAACCAGAATACAAACACGATGTCGTTCACCTCCCCTTGAGCTTACAACAGGATCCCTTTTCTTCCCTCCGCGCCTGACGGATGGTCTCATGTGGAGTATGCGGGCTTAGCTGGATGTACTGGCATTTGCGTTGGCTGTGGATCAGCTTGCTGTCCTGACGGCAGCCAGCTGGCAGCACGACACTCTCCCGCGTGCGTTGTTTGCCTAGCCGATGTCGGCATGTGTCTGGTGAATCAGGGCGCGTCATCATCAATACAACTTGATTCCTTACACATGGACCACCTGAGTCTTTAGTACGATGTGTAGTGGAGTTTATTCGACCCTCCACTGCGTCTGAAAGCGCTGATGCCATGAAGGCCGATTCTTTCAGTAGCACTAGTCGAGCCACAAGCACCAGTAGGTACATCTCAATCGTTGAACTTGTCTTCCCCAAGCACAACAGTCCAAAACACAAAGCATGCCTCGCTCTTCACAAAGAAGACTTGCATCTTCGCACAACTACCAGAAACGTGTTTAAAGAAAGAAACCAAAACCGAAATGTCCAGGGATCCAATGGCAAAAGCTTCCGCCTGCAACCTTCTGAGGTGTTCCACTTTTGTCGGGAGGACACTGCACGCATCCCTTTGCCTGGTGCCTGGAAAGTTCGTTGCGCTTCGCTGCAAAATGGTCTGCTCGTCCCCTCTATGATTCACAACATGAAACAAAGGAATCACCCGAAAGAAGGCTCCATCAACGGTGAGGAGGCTTGTTTGGGTGGCTTGCACTAGCAAACAGGAAACCAAGAGGAAGCCGGGCATCTGAGAGCGGCCAATCATGTTCAGCCGTGTCATGGCCGCCATGTGGGAAAGCTTTTTCAGCGGTTTTTCACAAAAAGTTAATGACCAGCCTCCTGGTCGCCTCAAGAAGCGTTTACACACCCTTCTCATGTCACTCACTCCAACACAACCAGTTCGCTCAAGCCAAGCGAACATACGTGACAATATCCCATGACAGATTCCAGCCAGCACAAAACGAGCAGAAACAAGCCCACACAAGAGTATGTCCCCAAATCGGGGGACCCTTTGAGCCATCCCCAAAAAGGGCCCACATCCGAGGAGGCTGGTGTCTTCAGATCGGCATCCGGTCCGTGGCCATGGCCAAGGTGGAAAGGCTGGCAGCACGGTGCTGCAGCCTTGCGTGCGGTGGTTTGGCCATGGGTCCCAGCTCTAAGGCTCTAGTGTGCATCTTTTGAGGCTACCCGTAAGGAGAACCAAGGCAAACCAAAGGAAGCAAACTGATTTTTTTGCGGGTCAAGCCCATTTGGAGACAAAGCTAATTCACGCAGCCAGATACACCGCCTTGTCAGAGCTTCCCAGGTGTGGTTCCCTAACAACAGTTGAATCTCCCTATGCAAAACTGCTACTTGCCCACAAATGTCATGATCACCTCAGCCTGCCCTTCAGCCATGGGAGATTCAGCCAGCCGGGCTTTCTGTTGGTCTACATCTGCTTCTGTTAGGATAGTTTCAACACCCGAAGCTCCGAACTCTTGCAAGTGAGGGCGCCCCCTGGCTCACACGAAAAGTTGGGGCTTGCAACCCGCAATCGCACTTTGGCGTGGTTTTTGACCACATCCAATTTACACAAAGAGATGTTGCACATGCTAGTCCTTATGAAGGATCCCTCTTCGTGGACAACCTCAAACCAAACGTTACTTATGAGCTCGGCAAATTACAGCCTTCCATGGGCGTATTTTGGCTGTTCATGTTTGCTGGACATGCGCTTGACAATAGAATGTAAAGGGGAGGTGCCTCTGAACCACCTCCAACTTGAGTTGGCAATAGGTTCATAGTTCTATCTTGTTTTGCGTGAAGGCAACTATCGGCCGGTGTTCACAGACAGGGGGTGATGGCCGTCTTTTGCACACCTGTTACTGATCCCTAATTCGGCATGAGGGCCTCAAAGAAACCAGCTTCAGTTTTGCCAGCACAAGCTGTCAACTCAAAGCCTCCAATCACAGACCGTTGACTGCCGTGAGTGTGTGCGTCATACAGCAACTGTAGTTGAAGGCACACGGGCATTTATCAGGCTACGGCTCCAAAGTGATCCCTGCCCCTCCCCATGTAGGGAATGGTACTCCCCCGCAAATTCACATGGAACCCAAAAAGGGTTGGAGTACCTGCAGCCAAGTCGTCCCTCCCAGGATTCGCACCGCAATTCAGCCAAGGCCATCCGAGGCCCTAGCGAGGGGTTGACGCAGAAGATGAGGGCGATGCCGCAGCCGGGGCGCAAGTACTCCCAGAGGCACTTGTTCAGGACACTCTGCCTACGCATTAACCATCTACCCTCTTTAGGCGGGTGTCCAAGCAAAAATAATGCAGTTTCCCTTGGCTTCCCTTCAAAAATGGCCTGAAGAAGGGTACCCTCAAAACACATACGACGGGTAAGTGGGTAAGCAAGGTAACCACCCTTTTAAGACTACAATTCCTGGTTGCGCACCATACCGGCGACTGGGATACACTGATACACTGCATTACTGGGTCCCGCCTGAGCCAAAGAAAGCTAATCTTTGGCCGGTCAATGGGGGGCAAATTACAAGTAATCGAAAAACAATCATGACTGGGGTTCAAGTAGATGAATCTGCTGCTTATACTCCCGATTTCCCTGGGATCAAGTTGTTGTATCACTTCTATCATCAGACTGTCAGTGGATCGGGCAACCCAAAGCCTGAATATGGCCCATTCGCTACCAGCCAGGAATGCAGGACCTGCATTTACGCTTGAAATTTGGCATCAGATAGTCCAGCTGCAACAGGGACCAGCCATGGGAACAAAGAAACACACATCCCTCTAAATGAGTGGGGAGGACCACTCTTGAAACGGTGCGACTTTCTTGCATTTGATAGTCTTGGTGTCCCTGTCTCTGTCTGTCTACATCCCTTGTCTCTGGCTGCCTGACCGCACCTGTGGGGTGAAGCCCTTGAATATCAAATCAAACGCATAGAGATTCTTCAATGGCTGCATGGGGCCAGCCAGCCATTGCAGGGATATCGTGCGCCATTGATTCATTCCCGTGGCATCACCAACAAAAATGCTACTGTAAACCTGCACCCCCCACAAACCCATGCAATGGGTTCTCCTGTGCCCCCACCAGTTTTTGCTGCTAAGTTGCCGCCGCTCCGATTCGTCGAGGCAGCCGGTCTGCCAAGGCAAATGGCGAAGGAAGGTCAAGTCAGCACTTGGCGTGCAGGGTTCCTTGTCAAAAATTAGGGCCCAACTCACAGAGGTTTGCTGCACTTCTAGCGGTTATTTTTGTCCAAACAAAGGGGTTGAATGATAAATCCTCCTTGGCATGCAGAGTGTCAGGTGCAGGGTACTCATGAACTCATATCGAATCAAACATGGCAACAAAAACAAAGGATATGATGAATCCCAAAGACTGTTCGTCTGGGATAGTCGTAACAATGTGTGAATCGAACATTAGGGATCCTTTCATTATGGGCAAGGTGGTCGCTATAAGTTGCCCAAACTGGAAGAACCGGGAAAGACTACATTTACAAGCTTGGCCTGAAAGCTGGTCCGGGGCATCAACACATGTGATCACTCTATTTTCCCCGGTCATGGTCTCCTTCAAGATGCACGAATACGCAATTCTGCAGACATTCCCATGAAGAACCCAGCAACATGAGCCATGTCAAACTCCTTGGGGGATGCTCGGCCATAAGTCATGCTCACCGCTTAAATCCTCGACAATCTCTATTGGCCAAGTTTTGACCCGCGCATTCGGCATCTGAGCCGTCGAAGGCCCCCTTCAGGTTGGGTGTCTGCATAGCTCTGTCGGCAAGGGCCAGGCTCGTTTGCAAACATTGCAAACCCTTGCCGGATGCTAAATCCTTTTCGCCGGTTTTCTAAGTGCGGGTTCCTAAGCCACATGTCAACGTTACCCATATTCGACGCGAATCCCGTTTGCAGCCTCATTGGGGTCCCGGATATACGGGCATGTCCTGCCATGGATACATCCAGGATGAAGGCCATCCTACTAAGGCCTTTCCCAAGAATCTTTTATCTATTCAAGTATTGACTTGGACCATCCTTGCAACGAGTCAAACACATGTCCAATCAAAAAAAACGCCTGCTCGGAATGCTGCTTTGAGCCTACACAACCGCCTCTTGCTGTGCCTGGAGCTTCCGCAGCAGGCGGTTCAGGGAGCAAAGGGAGGTGTTCAGCAGGCGCGCGCTCTTGCGGCCGTGCAGGGAGGGGTTCTCATGCTCCTGGCGGCGGAAGTAGGAGACCGGTGCAACATTTGTTGCAACCGGCTCCTCTCCTTTAAAGGGAAAACAAAAGGAGGGTTCCTCAAATAGCGACATGTTCAAACAAGGCCCTGGCAACCGCAAATGCTGCTTGTTTGAGCCGCCAAACGGGGTCCGTTCTTTGCTCTAGCTTTGTGACTCCAATCGGCACCCAAACGGGCAAAAGCTTCGTCGAAGTCGCTTGAACGGACTGACAACCAACTGAACCCCTGAATTTGCTCTCTTGAAAGAAAGCCGCTACCGATGTGGAGCACTCAGCGTTCATGGACTTGATGTGTCGATGAATCCAGCCCTTTTGGCAAGGCTCCGAAAACGGTAGCTAGCAGGTAGAAAACATGTTGCCAAGTGGTTGGGTCCAACTCCAAGAAGCTCACCAACAAACGCATCGAAACACTCACCTGAATCATCCAATGTGGACATTGTCAGACGGCAACATACTTGACATGTCACAAGGTCACCATAGCAACATTCAGAATGACTGGTCAATATGTTGCTCTCCTTCAGCTCACAGACTACTACCACCCCTAACAACCCAAACCACAGCAAGTACGGCCTCGCATAAGGCTTGGGTTGGGATTATCCCAATGAACCAGTACCAGGGCAGGTTGGTAATGCGGCTGGTTCCTCTTGGAATTCCTTTACACGGTCCCCAAGCATTGGCACCCGTCTTTGTTGGTTTAATGTAGTGCCCAGCAAGGGTATGTCTCATGGGGAACGCCACAGCTCCATTCTAGTTCCCTAGCCTCTGTGGACCCTTGCACCCGTGAGTATGCCCCTGATGTGCTAACTAGTGTGCCTCTGCTAACTGGTGTGGCTCCATGTGCCTCCGATGCGCTTTGGGTTACTTCTTGTTGGGGCCAGGGTCCTCGCCCCACGATCCCTCAACCGCGCCTTCTCACTCCCGGCGAGATCCACCAACGTCAAGGTGCCGATGCTGGCCATGGGAGGCTCGCAGGGGTTCCTTGGAAAACAGGAAAGACCACAGAACCCGAACGCCCGCTCAGGTTCCGTGATTCTGGGGAGTAGAGTATAGATCATAGGAATCCAACCAGGAAACCGAATCGTCAGAGTAAGCAAATCAAGGAAACCGATTGCTATGTGACTGAAACCGAGCACCAGGAAGTCGGCTCTTGTAAGACGAGAAACTCATTCGTGGTATTCACCTTGCTTCTGTGTTGAATCAACCATGGCTGCTAGGTTTACTCCAACAGATTTATGCCATTGACAGTCTGAGACTTGTAGCTGTAGGGATCAATTGGCACTTCCCCTTGTTAGGCCCCTTTCAAAGTGCTCATTGACTCCTCATGGGGTCTGCAAAGCGTCCCAACCCAACTGTATCAGGACCTATCAGGACTTGATTGCTTCAAGGCGTCTGAACGAAGAGCTGCACGATAGCATGAGACCTCGCAGGGCTCGGGCTCATGTAGCTTGATGACATCTGCCCAAAAAAGTGCAGCTCACAAACTGACAAGAATGCAGACACTGGAAGAATCACAAACTGAACATATCTCGCAAAATGGCAATGAACGATCCTACAAGGAAGCACAACAGCATCACAGGTATGTGGCAAGTTTATCACACGTGACACGCAGGCTCAGGCATTTCCAATCCTCGCAGCATAAAAAATGCCAAGCGGCTGACATTTAAATTGGACTCCAGCTCAGTGTGAAGTGAAACTGACTGGCCATCAAAAAAACAAGCACCAATTCAAACGCGACTTACTCACTCATGCATAGGTAATGATTGAATCAATTCACAAGCGATTTCACTACACACACACACACACGTCTGTAGCATTTGTATGGACCTCACGACAGTCTGACTGCGTGATGGGCCATGCCTGTTGCTTCCCTGTGAAACGAGGCAGGAAACGCCAGCCTCAGCCACTCTATGCTGTCACTTAACCCAAAGCATATGGGCAGCGCTCAACATCCACCAACGCTTGGTTCTGAGAGCAAGGTTTGAACTGGTCTTAACAAGAAATTTGTCCCAAACCAGGAAGCAACGTTTTTCACTAGAATGAACAAACTTGGGGCCTCCCCTTTTCAACTAAGTCAACATTTGCAACCAAGGTCACCACCCGATTGGAGCTTGAATTTGGGGGGGCACTTGTTCAGCAACAAGAGGAAACATGTATGCATTTGTCGCATGTGTTGTGCTTGAAAATGCCAGGTTAGATATTCCGTTCTTGCCTCGAGGAGTCGCCGTTCACCGAGGACACACCTGAGGCGACAGCATCTTCAAGGTGCCGAAACTGTGATGACTCCAAATGCAAAGGTTATGGTTGGTGTCCTCTCCAGCATGTGCACAGGGATCCCATATCTGTTGTTTGGCCTCCAGTAATGCTTGGTGTGCCCTTTGACACCTGTCAAACAGACGGTCATCGCATGCGGAAACAAACCCTAGAACAAACAAGCTGGAGGGCAACGCCTGCATTCGCTGGAACCCAACACGCACCAGCACGTCTATATATGTACCAGTCCCTGGGCCACGACCCCCAATGGTTGGTCCCCCCATTCCCCCGCATCATCCGCATCTTGGGGATGATGCTGGCAATGCTGGGGATGCTGTCCAGTACCGTGCGAGCCCTGCAGCTTCGGTCCCAGACCCCCTTTCACCCCGTGAACCAACACCCCCGCACCTCTCGCAACATCCTACCCTAAACCAAACCACCCTGCAACCCCTCCTTAACCCCAACCCTAAGCCTAAATCAACCCAAAACCCCAAACCCACCCGAAACCCACCGCAAACCAACCCTGAACCAACCCTGAACCAACCCTAAACCAACCCACCAAGGCTAAACCAACTCCGAACCACACCCAACCACCCAACCAACCAACCACCCCACCACCCCACCACCCCACCACCCACCCCACCACCCCACCACCCCACCACCCACCCCCACAGGGGGGGTGGGGGGGGGGGGGGGGGGGGGGGTCCACGGCCTGGAACATATATATATATATACAGGATGAGACTGCGCTATGATCAAGTGAGATCCTCAAAAACAAGCAAACAAATGCCATCACAAAAAGCATAGCTTCATACTAAGAACCAAAGATGCCCTCTTGTGCTCTGTACGCTCTGGGGCATCCAGCAGCAAAATACTCAAAAGCTCCATGTCTTGTAGCAAGTCTCCAAATCGCACCTCAAGGCTCAAGAAACTGCCTACAACGCAATCCCCACTCAAGCCAAAGCTCCTAGAAAGCTGCCAGGGAGTGTGAATCCAGGGTGACAGTCACGGGCATTTGCAGTCAGGTTCATTTGCATTGCCTCCCCCCTGCGCAGACACTCTACTGGCTCGTTCCTCTTGGTTGAAGACACACATATTCAAACAAAAAGTCCACATTGTCAAGATCCAACCAAAGAGCCGCCGCATGTTGACCCTTTTCAGAGAACCAAAGGGATGCCTCGCTCCCTGTTTAGTGAAAACAGCACCAGAAGAACATTCCGTAAAAGACAATTATTATTATTGTTTAGTGTTGCCGTTCGAAAACCAAAAGGCAGCGGCAACAAGATCAAGCAACATTTCGGGGGGATGCCCATCTTAGAAGGCCCCCATGCATGGTCAAGTTCTGGCTTCCAGTGGAGTGGCCAACGAAGGCCCAAACTAACCTTGTTGCTGCTTCATTGTTCCTCCGGCCCCTTTTCCCCTAACCAACCACCCCGTCCAACACCAAACATGCCACATTCACCTCAAACATCTTAAGCTGTGCTCCATGTGCAAAGCCCGAGGCGCCGCAGGAGCGCCTGCGCGCGGCGGAGCGCAGCAGGCGCAGGCAGAGCTCGGCGCTGGGGACTCGGCAGATCCTAAGGGATGAGTTGGGTGACGGGGTGACGGGGTGAGGGTTTTGGGGGGAGGGTTTTGAGTTGAGGGGTTCGGGGGTCGAGGGGCATGAGGTTGCAGTCGGTTTGGGTCGAAAGTTTGGGGGGTAGGGGGCCTTGGTAAACTTTAGGGGGATGAGGTAGCTGTTGACGCCCAGCAGTCCATTCACAAAGTACTCCGTTGGCGCGGCTCAAGTCTGGTACTCTGGAATTGTACACACAGGGGTTGAGGGGGACGGATCGGGTGAGCTAGCAGGAGAGATCCAAAAACTGTTCAAGAGCAGATCCTCCATTTCAGCTCATGCAAGTGAGCTTCAAACATATCCATGTCCTGTTCCGTACTTTGATCTGCAGTTGACATAGTAGGAGCAAACGTTGACTACTGTTGGCTGTGGCTGCCGCAACAGTCCTGTTCCCTCAATGACATTGTTCATGCCAAGGCCAAATAGACAATAGGGACATTGAATGTATTATGTACACAATGGCCAAGCGCTTGAAACTCAATCGGACAGTTAATAAGCCAATGCCAGCAAAGCGCTGCCAAGGGAGGAGCAACCCCATCGGTGGAAACGACATCACAGGCCCAAGAAGCTGGTAGCGACACCGCTGCGTTTTGATGAAGAGCTCATCGTGAACAACGTCATCTTCGCATAAAGCTCCTCTGCCAAGCCACACGAATCATGCGTGACACAAGCTGTGCGCTGACCGGAAGTACCCATGCATTGTTCCAAGCGCCATGCAACGAAATCAAACCTTGATGTGGAGACACGCCACCGTCACTTCGGGTTGGTCCTTCTGCCTCCAAAGCTGACGAATCCTCAGCCAGTTCGAGAGATGGCTGTTTCACAGAGTTTCTTGTTAGGATGTCCCTTTCAACGCACTCAATGGGGCCCAAGCGTTTGGACAACCCCGCATGTTAACCCCCACTCGGCACTGCCGGTACTGAAGAGAACGCTGAAAAAAAAAACACAGCAGAAAGACCTCCTGAACGCAACTCACATTTGTGGACCCCTGGTGAAAATCCGGATCCTTGCAAAGCCGTCTCACCGTCGGATCAAAACCAACCCCCGGGTGGTTTCCCATGTCCCGTATCTGGGTGGTTCTACTCCTGCCCCACGTGTTCATCGCTTGCCGCTGATTTATGCTTGAACAGCACCCACTGCTGCAAACTAGAAAGGGTCAGGTACGGCCAACAAGGTGTCCCGGTAGCCCAAACTTGGGTCACTCGCATCTTTGTCGAGCCGCAATCAGGTCGGTCAGAGAATCTCCGAGCACCTCGTAGCCTCAGAGTCTCTCATTCTCGCTTGAGTGAGCCCGAAGAGCAGCGGACGAAGTCGGCGGGAATTGAACTGTCGGCCTCGGCACCTAAAGGGTTCAGTACCAACTGTACTTGGTCCGATTTGGGAAATTGCTTGGTAATGAATTTCCCTCGCGTATGAGGATGTCGTATGAGGATGTGGGATGGACACGGTGGGGAGCAAAGGTCAACATTAATGAAGCAAGACACATGTGAATTCCCCCCCTTTCTTTGGCCAACATGGAAGCTCACGGAAGGCCACTAATGGAAAGCCTTTCAAAGAGGCCCCGGAATCCGCCGACAAGCTCGAGGGGTGCTTATGCTCTCCCTTCATGAATTCAACACCCTGACAAAAACATATGAATCCGAAAATTGCCCAAAAGGGCTATGTTCAAATTCTGTCCAACAAGTATTTATGATAAAACAAGGACCCCCTGCCTGGACGAAACGCATCCGAGGGGCAGCAGGCGTGTACTGCGCTGCCGGCACGGAGAGATGCAGTGTCGAAGACCTGCTGCACAAAAAGCTCCAGCAGGCCCGGGGAAGATGCGCCTGAGCGCTAATCTTTGTGACTAACCTTGATCCCCAGCAGTATCTGCTCATAACCCTTGGGCAGGTAGCTGCTTGTTCATGGTGTGGGCTGAGTCTTTGCACTGGTCGACTCCTATTCCCATCATGAGTACGTCTCAGACATATATTATTGGCAATATGTGTTACCGTGCAAGCCGAGTAGCTTCCGAAAATAGTGTGAGTCTTGCCACTTCCTGTCCTCAGTCAGTGCCAATGTGCTTTTCACAGCTGAGTATCTCAAACCACTGGCAACTGTACATAGTGGGCCAGCTTGCTGTGCTTGACTGAGAGTGTCACCATGTCATGTCCGCATTTTTCATTGTGAACTGCGGGTGAAAGGCCAACAACATTCACGTTTCCCGCGCATTGCTGTAGGCCCGGCTGGCCATAGGCAAACAGGGTCTCGTTCACCCCTGCAAAGATGCTGTCGGTGATGGCGGGGCCCTGCCAGCAATGATAACTATGAGGGAGACAGCGGCCAATATTTGGCCGCCAGGGGGGGTCATCTTATCAAGTTCACTTCCGCGGTTGCTGTAAAATAGAAACTTGACCATTGAACACTGCCGAAAGAATCCGCCCAAGGAAATTATCTACCCTCATTCTGCGCCATGTTGCATCATTGCCTTACCCAAACATGATTACTCTGTAGCCAGAGGCTTGTGACGTTTTCTATACAGGGCCTTGACACACCACACAAATTCGTATGGTTTCTTCGTCCACTTGAATAGATGTCAGCAGGCAAGCACGCCTGCAGCTGGGCAAAGAGGCGCTGGTTGTCTTCCTCCGGGCCGAAGACCCGCGAGAACTCGTACTCCTCGCGCTGTTTCGGATTCCCGCAACGGATGGACCCTCTCAGGAGGAACAACCGCTAATTTCTTGTCCATTGGGAGAATAAGGGACGGCTAGTTTCTTGTCATGGCGTGAGGCACGGCCTCTTAAAGCCATCCCTAACAACGGGGTCCAACTCGATATGGATGAACATGCTCATCTGTGATCGTGTCAAACCAAAAGGGTCTGAGTCAAGTAGGCCTTCAGGATTTGTTTCGATGGGTTAATCGAGGTCAAGGTGCCCCCTTACGAGGCACTTGGACACTGAAAGGCTCTATGTCTGAAAATGATCCTTTTTCAAAAGCGTCCCACTCGCATTCACACAATGATAAACATTGTGGACTGGTCCAATGCTGCAGTACGCCCAAACAGCCAGTTGCCATGAACTCCAAGCCTCACACGCGTCATATTCTGCCAGCCCTTGGCTCCTCCAGGAGGAAGCCCCGGTTGCAGCAGACTCGGGACTTCTCAGTGGCCCAAAGTGCCGCGGGCTCTTCGCTGGAGGGCCTAGGACCGAGACGCTTCCATTCAACCCGAAAACTCAGAGGCCGAGGGGAAAAGGGGGTCACCAATGTTCTACGTTCGTGTGCTGATTCATCATGTTGAGGCTCGGAACAACCCTACTGCGGGCAGGGAGCCAATTGCATCTGTGACTGGCCTGGAAAATCCTTTCCTGCAAAGGGATATAAAGGGGACTATAAACCTTTCGTAGTTCTGGCTGCTGTCTGAGCGCCTGAGGCTCAGGCCGTATGCGGACTGCAACCTGGCCGACCAAGAGCTTATCACGACAGGTGAAACGGGTGGGGCAGGGGTGCTAAGGAGAAGGATCAACTTTTGGGTCATGTTGAACCCATGTTTGAAACATGTTTGAGACATGTTTTGTCGCATTGACTAACAGGATTTCACCGTGGTGTCAAATACTCAAGTTCCCCCGCTCCCGGACAAAGAAAGAGATCCTGTGCTTCAGGCCCTTGCAACTTGCAAGTCAAACGAATTGGCCCAAAGCCGAGTGCCTACACCCTGTCCGCAGCATTTCGGGTGATACCCAAAAGCATCACCTTGGAGTTTCTCAATGTTTAACCCTTTCTTGATCTTGGTTGGTGCCTCAAGGTAAGCCGACGGAAAGCAATCAATGCTACCGGGTCCTCTACTTTGAGAACTTCTATCGGTGGCTTGTCAAAGCAAAAAAAAAAGACGCTCAGAAAGGCTGTTACGGACCTTCTGATCCGGCCAAAGTCTGGCTGCACAAACTCAACCCTTGGAAACCCTTTTGTAAGAAGACCGAACCAAGCCCTCCTATGAAAGGTCTTACACTTTTAGGCAAGTCATCTATTTCCCACAATAGCGGCTACGTGAGACACCGCTGGCGGTGGATCACGGTGATCTGAGCCCATCTAGGCCTCGGGCCGAGACAAAGGGAAGCTTTGCGACCCGCCTGAGCGAACCGCTCATCTCAGCTCTTCTTGAGACAGCCTTAGGCCTGAAACCAGCTGTGGCTGCACGGAAAACTCAAAACTGCAGGGAGTTCCCAACAAGGGTGTGCCGAGCAGCAGACTCGAATCTTGGCAGCCCGCTTTGAGTGCCCGAAAAGGGAAGCACTTGTTTGTCCTACTGGCTGAATTCGAGGCCCACTTCCACTGTTCGTCAAACGCTCAAGGTCCTGATGTCGAATGATTTTAATTCGGCAAAGTGGGATTTGGCCAGTAGACTGCTGCTTTCAGCTTGCCTCATGCGAATCCATGCGAATTCTACTTGCAAAGTTGTCCTTCTTACGCCTGCTTTCAGATTCACATCGCTGCTCCCACCCGCCTCGAGTCACCCTTCTCGCCCTGCAACTGACATGAAACGGACTGGCAATAAGCCGTTGCCAGCCACTAATACCAACATGGGCTTCCATCCCTTCTTACGGCGCCAGGGCCAATATTGCTTGATGGAATTCAAACAAGATTATGCTGGCAAAATGAGCATTTTCAACCTGGGGATAGGGATGCGGGTAAAAATAAATAGTAGAGGAGGCTCCAATACAAGCCAGGCCGAATCCAGTTTAGCCTGACACACCCAATGGAATTGCCTGGATGCCTTTTGGTCGTCCTTCAGGTGCAACCACAAACTGGGTCCATCAGAGTTTCGGACATTCGGCGGGCTTGCCTCTGGGACCCGCGGCGGCATATCGAATGCAAGCGAGCCCGTTTGGCATGGATGGAGTTGCCACGAGGCAAACGCAAAGGTACTGTGCATGCATCGAGAGCCTTCTGTGTTCTGTTTGATCCTGTACACTATCCCTTTGCTACCCTGCTTTGCCAAAGGGAAAAATGGAGGACGTGGCGCAAATTTTGGCACAAGCTGTCAAACTAGCCAAATGAAAGCCTGGTTCACGGCAATTGTAGACCCCCTCTTCAGATTGCGCAAAAGAAGTCAAGGAAACTAAGTCACTTGGGCAGCTGGGGGAAGGATGGCTGACAGTGAAACATGCCGCTTGTGCTTGGCTTCTTGTACCATAGCTAAAGCTGCGCACGGCCGCAAACGCCTTCCCTCATGCCGAGACCCGCGATTTGTGGGCTTCGACCACAAAATACGGCTGGGCTGGGCTAATCTGTTACCGCATTTGTCGGCTGAAAACCAACGCACCTGATCTTTTAGTAACTCCAAATGCGTTGGAGGGTTCTCACGCCTTAGTGTTGGATCGCTTTCTGCATGGCACATGCTTTTGCCAGCTCTTCAAATCGTTGACAGTCCCCCTTGTAGCCTCGGCCTGGAACAACCTCACACTGGACTTCAGGAAGGTTCAATGTGCATATATGAATTGTACAAGGCCGTGCAAGTGCAAACATGCATCTATACACACAAAGCATATACATGAATGGCTACCGGAAAAAAAAAGGAAAACAACAAGAAACAAAACAACTCATACCGGGTGTATACTCAGAATCAATCAGTCAGTTGACGTCGGAGTAGGGTCCGACGAAACATAGGGCGGCCCCAAACATGGGTGGTGTTCAATCATTTCCCTTTGCAACCATCCAGCCCGAGGGCCCCCTTCCCCAGTTGTCATCTTTTAATCCACGATCTCTGCATCCATCCGAGAGGGCGCCTGCCAGGGTTCGTCTCGAGAGGGTACGGCGGCCGCACCGAGTTGTGACCGAGTTGTCAAAACAATCGACCCCACATCTTAGCAACCCCGAGTGGGGGTGTGTCTCCAAAACGGGGACCTCCTCAAAAAGAGCAAGAAAGGCACATTTCTTCACAATGCTGCTAACCATGCTGATGAACATGTTCTTAACTGTGGAATAGCCACAATGGTTCATTCATATCAAAGGATTCTCTGCGCAAAAGTTGGCAATACTCTAACATGACGCTTCAAAGAAAACGGGCAGGACCTCCCCATTGCACCGTTGTAGGTCGTCAATGTTGTTGCTCCATCAAAGGATTCTTCATCGTCATGATGATGCTGGCGGCTGTGCTTTGACCTGCCGCAACCGAATTCCAAATAAAGCCCGGTGGGTGGTGGTTGACATCCCCATGACGCAACTGCCCTGCACTTGACGAACCTGCGGATGTCCTCGTTGCAGGCCACCCAACAACTACTCTGCTGCTATATTGTCCCCTGGCGACTCAAAGTCTAAACCACTTGCCCAGAGGACGCGGAAATAAGTGACCAAAATGGGAAAACCCAAACATCAAACGGTCGGCTTTGGACAAGTGAGTCCGCAGTGTTGAGATTCGAGATGAAAGACACCCGTGACCTGTCTATTGACATGACCGTTGATGTGCACAACTTGGGGCATCCACGGCCACGACCATGGCTCACCTGGTACAACCATGAAACTTCCGTGCCTTCGGTGCGGTCTGGACCATCTCCTGCCACATGTGCCGAGGCGCTATGCCCATTCACATGTGCACAAGTAGTTGAATCCTCGAATGATCTTCCACGCATACCCCAAAACCAAACCCAAAACCATAAGTTTGAGACACATGCGTGGTCTGGTGGCGAGACCGTAGAATGACAGGTCCAGGTGTTGTGAGTACAGGTCACAAATCACATTGAACAACTGGGCCTGAACTTTGGAAGTTGTACATCCCAATTTATCCAACTCTCCAATCTTGGACAAGCCACAGAAAACTCCACCACCACGTCCGCGACAAAACCGACTGTAACAAACATGACTTGCAACACCAAATGAAACCAAGCGCATGAATGCAACGCAGTACGGATGAACAAATCCAGCAACACATCCTCTTGCAGAGGCCTAGATGTCGCATTGCAACATCATTCCATCCAACAAAAAAGGCATACCGAATTGACCCAGGTAGAAGCTCACCTCAAGCTAACAGTTGAGGAGTCATGTTTAGGCCCTTTACCTTCTGTTTGTCCAGTCAGTCAGGCAATGCAGCTGTTGAAACATGGCAAACCGTGGGCCCGTTGTGGAGCCAAGCTTGCCTTTCAACAGGGCTGAGTTCCTTTGGGAAACCTAATTTTCACCAAACGTCAATCAGCACGTCGGGATGGCGAAAGCTTAGTGCGTGACACCCAAGTGCAGCCTTTGAACAGGACACTCCTTGAGATGCAAAGAAGAAATTACCAGGGCTGGAAGTGTCAAATTTTTGGGAACCCAAAGATGGTGCTTGTCCCTTTCTTTTCCCTTCAATCCAACCTGAAAAGGGTGCCAACTCTAAATATTAAACACATTTGTCCACGAAGCAGCGAACAGGGCCCCGCCAGCTGAGCCAGTAGCTCCGCCAGAAGCGCCGCCGCTTTGGGCTCCCGGTGGCTTTGCCGGAGCTCCTCGCCGACCGCGGAGCCGAGCCCAAAGCCCCACGTCTCGCGGGTTGTGCAAAGATGTCGTCCCCTTGCAAAAGTTTGGAGATTTCCCCTCAGCCCAACAAAGACTCCAGCTCTGCTCCCCCATTCTCTCCGGAGATCTTTCTTGTCAGAATACTGCCACACGCCCAGAGTTGGCGGCTGGCAGCAAGAAAGGAAGAGCAAGCTTGGCAAAAGTTGGGACGCACATCTCGGCCGAAGCGGCCGCAAGCCTCGAAGAGCTGGGCACTTTGCGCCCGCAGCACCCGCAGTCGCGACCAGAACTGGCCGTCGATGCAATCTTCGAAGGAGCTTGGTTCTGGGGATAACTTCCTCAGTCCTTCCAGGAATCCTTATTTTCAGAAAACCAACAACCAAGGGACATGGCTGGCTGTTGAACAGAAACGTTTGCTGAACAGAATGGGTGTGGCTCACAGGAACACAAAAGTAGTTGTCCAAGATGGAGCCCTCTTTAAGGTCGCTGCTGCAAGCAGAAACTAAACAGAAACAAACCTACCTGAAGGGTCCTCCTGATAGGCACCCACCATTGGAAACCACTGGTGCCACCGGTTCACACTGCAGGTCCCTGAAATACACCTACACGCGAGCGTGTAAGACCGCCAATTCCGTGATACGGCTGGTAAGGCTCCCTGGTATTGCCACCTGATTTTCACACACCTACGTGGTGGCTTGTTTAGTACACCGTCGCTCTCCCATTGTTTTGTATACGGTAAAACAATGAAACCTCGAAAGGCGAAAACGCAACCCGCAATCCTGTAATAAATGTCAGTTGAGCCTTCAAGGACTCAAGAAATCAGAAACCTGGGGTTCCAAGCTCGACCCTTTGCCGCATGCCAAACATGAGTTCATTTGCGCTTGCCATTTCAGAAGCCCCAACAGCGGCTCCTTCCCAGCCAGGTTGGAAAATCACAACAATGATAAACTTATTGATGAAATATCAAGAACCATTTCGACTGCGCACGTTGCTTCAGTTTCAACTTGTGGCGTTGATCCATTCCACCTGCCTCTTCTGGCCCCGGCAGGCTGCTCAGAAAGGCACCGGCCTGCCACTGACAGCAAGGTGAGCTTCCGCTCGCAGTATGGTTTCCGCTGCCCTCAAGGGTCTGACAGGGGTATGCACCCGTAAGTGGCTGTATATCCCATCAAAACCGGGGGGTAGTTGTTTGGGGGCAGTGGAACTATCTTAGAATTATTGGTGCCGTTGAAGAGCGGACATACCGGCCATGACCAACTGCCGTTCGATAAACATCAGCCCTATGCCAACAAAAGTTATAGTTGACCGGGGACCCTGGTAGAACCAGGAATCCTTTTGAGGGAGGATAACCACTCTAAGTGCGGAACTCAACAAACAATAAATTTGGGACGCAACACAATTTGAATGTGGGTCCCCGCGCTCAACAGCGGCTTAAAAAGGGCTCTCACGTCCAGCAGCGCAGAAAATGACGACATGTCAAAACCAGCGAGCGCCCTCCGTGTGGTCGGTATATTTTGGTTCCCTGTACGAACCAGCTGTGCTGGCTCCCATCTCAAATATGGTTGGCTTCACGCTGGTTCCTTCAACATAAAACAGCCCCAAAAGAACATCTGTCAAGCTGGTACTGATCCAGTGCTCAGGAGAGCCTCCCAGCAACTCAGCGGCTGGTTGTGACATTCAACGGCCCCCAGCAAACAGGTAGCTTCGCTTGCACTTCCCGTGAAACCACTCCCTAAAAAGCATACCATCAACGAAGCGACACACCCATTCTAATCGTCAGCTGCAAGCTCTCAGCCAGTCTCAGCCACCTCTCCCGACTGTATATAGATTCCGCCGTTTCCAAGAAGCGGCCGGTTCAACCCAGGAACTCAAATTAAGTTGCCCACAAGACCTGGAAATAGGTTTGCTTTTAAGGAACTTTCACAAACACATGCGCAACACCAGCAGATCAAAGTGCTGCAAGTACGAAAAGGCTAGAATGAACAAGAGGAGAAACCGAAAGCTGGTAATAATGATATTGAGCAAGTGAGAAGCGGCTACAAGAAGTTCAACCGACGCCAGCTTCCTTCCAGGTTGGTGACCCAAAATGGAATCTACCTAAATCAAGAGGTTGGAACTACAGCAGGGGCTCATCAAAAACAACATGCTGGTCACACGAATGGGTCCCTGACGGACGGCGGCCCAACAGGGAACGCATTGAAGACTGTCCTAAACGATCAATATTTGCATCAGACAAAACTCACTTCCCAATTGGACTGGCAGAAAAAGAGAGAATCTCCGCTTTTCTGAAAATGACTCGCGAAACAGGTGAAGTCCACAGCGGGAGTAGGACTTTTGAACGGCCCCGTGGCGTGCTTTGCGATTTTGCGATTGGCCAGGAGAAATCCGTTCAACTTCAGGCACGGCTCATGGTCAACCTCACCAAACCGCG